TGTTTGACTGACCAGTGGGGCAAAGCTCTGTTCCTATGGCTTTAAAAGCAATAATACTTCCATAATATTGGGAAGTACACCAAGGTTGCATGTGAAATTCCAGATGTTATAGACCACCTTCCTTCCCTCCCTTCAAGTTCGTATAAAAGTATAAAATACATAAAAATGTCACAAAATGCATTAGTTGACCTTTGCTTTGATGGCAAGAATATGTAACTTGATCTATCACTTCAGCTTCACTAGGCTTGGGGGGAAAAAATCATGTCTGAAGTTTGCATCTTCAGCTGGTTTAGTTTTTAAACTTTCTCCTTGCTGTTATGAAAATGAGAAATATGTTGGCTTTGAGAGGTTTCTTCAATGCAGCAGAAAAAGGGGAAACCCAGTTTCATTAATATGAAAAAATATTTTGGAATTTCCCCTTAGTCCTGTCATTGATTATATCCTAATCAAGCTGCAGCATGTGTATAAATTATGTGACCAAAGCAAAACATCACTTTCTCATTACAACAGTCTTCTCTAGAAAAGAGAGTATCTGGAAGACTGATTTGAATCATATCATTCTCTTTACACTGCCATCTCTTCCAATAGGCTTCTGAGTATTAGAGCTATCATTAATCCACACTAAACTAAATTAATAGTGTAAATATTAATATGTAAAACATGGCCACTTGCTGTTAAATGTATTCCAGGGTAGTTCAAAGTTTTCTGAATCACCACTTACAATTATACATTGAAATATGTATGGAACACTTTTCTTTTGTCTTTCTTCTTTCTTCTAACTTTTCTTGATATATTTTCATGTTTAACTTTTATCTATGCAAAAATCTTCAATAAAAATTATATAGAAATATGTGTGGAACCCTCTGGAAACAAAGGTGGAAACTGTTCCAGGGCTAGGAAGCCATTACCAAAAAGGTAGTCTTCCTAGTGGTTATCCCTCTCAACTCATTTGGCAGGAGCAATACAGGTAGAAAGAAATGGGAAAGGGGAATTTTTCAGGTAACCTAGTTTCAAGTCATTTAGGCTTTGGAGATTAAAACAGTCAGAAAGCTAGTATAGCTAAAAAAATAAAGGCTTTCCATCCCAGCTAATATTGCAGCTACCTTCTGTATCAGTTGCATTATTTTAACTGTTTTAGCACAATCCCGCAAACAGCCTATTACAATAGTCCACATCAGAATTTACAAAGCTGGTTAATCCAAGTAAGGTTGCAAGCCGGTATACCAGCCAAATCTAAAGAAAGTCACTTCAAACACAGAAATCACTTTCATCTCTAAAAGGCCTTGGGGGAAACTGCAATGAATTGCAGACCCAACATGATTCCAGTTCTACGCCTGTCAGAGTGAACTATGTAAATATATGCGGAGACTCCTCTGCATGGAGCTGAGCTCCTGGTGACTCCATGGACCTGCCCTGTAGGTTGTGTTGGCAGCCACAGAGAATGGTTTGCCATTGCCTTCTTCTCAGAAGGTCTTTTCAACTTACTAACCACAGGCAACCCTGCTTAGTTTCTGAGCTCAGACAAGCTTGGCTAGATATTGCCATCTACTATTTTACAGTATATGGACTGTGGGCAGCAATAATATTTAATGCACACATTTACAGCTATGGATAGAGACTGCATTCAGAGTTAAATCATAATGAGCTCTACTGGCCTACAAGGTGTGCTTCAGCTCTTTCCTTCCTAGCAGCACAGTTCTTTCTGTCAAATAACAGGATTAGAATTCGATTGCCTCAGTTCCTTCCGGCTCTCTCCAAACTTTGCGAAAGAAGAGGTTAGTTTTGTTTTCTCTAACTGTAGCAGACGAGTGCATCATTTGTTGCGAGCAAATTTTAGGGAAAAAAATGACCACAATAAATAGCAGTAGCTCATTCTGTGGTCTGACGTACAGGAAGTACTTGTGCCTACTGAGTAAACATTTCAATTTTCCAGATGACAGAGCAGAGGAAGCAAAAACAGCGTATTGGTCTCCTAGGACATCCTCCTTCTATCAATGTGAACCCACAGCAACCAGCATAAATTGGATGGGTGGCTTGTCTCCCCATTGTATTTCCTTCCTTACTTCATAACAGAGTTGAGATCTAATCCTTAAAGCTGCTTCGGTGTATTCCTGGTTCATGTAAATAACCCTAGTTTTTATACTGTATGTATAGAACTGCTCTGAGAAAGTATGGGGCTTATAAATATTGGCACATCATTAGAGGAGGATTACATTTGTACCTTCAAAATGTGTTTTTATAGGAAGAAAGGCACATCCAATTTGCACTTGGAAAAGGATTTATGTCTGAAATAATACATGATCTGTATTTTGTATTTAAAACCTCAAGATAGCTAGTATTTATGTTTTATACAATTGTGCAATATGAATTATGCAATCACACTAGTTACTTTAGGAATGTATCCTACAGGGAGTGCACATCTTTGAATCTGGTGTCATCTTACTTCATTTGCAAAACAGCATCAAAAGTCCACTAATACAGGCTGCTGCCAAACGCTGTTCCTAGTGAGGTCGAGTTAATCTTGAGAGGAATCTTTTTTGTCATGGCAAATTATATCAGAATGGTTCTCCATGGCTGGCAGGTCAGATATTTTTTGTTTGGTTTTGGTGGCCTGTTGATTTAGAAGAACCTAGAATAATGTAGAGGTATCACCTCAGACTCTAGTTTTCAGGTACCAATTCCAGAGATGTTACACATATTGTTACTGTATTCTAACAGAGATACATTTCCCTCAGCTATACTTTGTACCAACTAAAAAATAAACGATGCCTTTTAGGACCCTTAGCTGAGCACTGATTTTCCAATACTTGTGAAAGAGCCACTAGTTATAGATTGTGCTTTAGTTTTTCTTCACACTTTGTTAATCCTAAGAGATTATATATATATGTCATCTAGTTTTGTACATGATTCTCATTTTACAGAAGTAATCTCTGCTTTTAATAAGAAGCAGGGAGATGAAGAGTGCTTATTAAAGTTTGTAAATGCATAAATATAGATATTTAAATAAATGATAGAATAAATATGTACAGTGCTTCAGTGTGACAGCCTCATTCTTCGTAAGCAACCTGAATTCTCTTTTCATTATTTTA